TCAGGGCCTCTGCCATGATGTCCTGGTTGTCCTGGTGTGCGAAGCCCGTGAGGTCCTGGTTGTCCTGGTGCGCGAAGCCCGCGAAGTTCTCCGAGTCGTCGGGGCCTGAGAAACACACGAAGGGAGCTTGCTGATCTGTGTCCGCCGAGGATGTTGCCATGGCCGCGGTGTTCTTATTCGGGCAGTTGGCCACTCTGTGGCCTTGCTGGCCGCAACCAAGGCATTCGATTTGGCTGTCGTCGCGAACTCGGTTGCCTGGGGCATAGGAGGGTTTGTAACCACGGGAGTTGCCCTGGTAGTACTTGCGGTTTTGCTTGACCATCTTCTGGCGGAAGCGTGCATCTTTGAGGGTCCTCTTCGCTTCGTGTAGCGCCGCTAAGGCGCTCTGCGCTTCCTGTTCGGCATCCACTACCAAAGCAATGCCCTCATCATTCATGCCCTCGGCCTCCAAGTCGGTGGTGGAGTTCCCCTCCGTCTCGAAGTCCTCGTCCATCTCGTCCGCGAGCTCGCCCATGTAGCTTTGGTGACGTCGACCTTGGTCGCGTCGACGTACTTCTCCTTCTGGAAACTGGTTCCGTAACTCCTGGCCGACCCTCAAGGGGTCGAAATTCCCATTGAGGGCCGTAATGATCAAGTTCCTTTCTCCATGGTCGAGGCCCGCGTCCATCAAGAGGTACCAACCTTGGATGAACGTCGGCAGGAGCTCCGCGACCTTAGGTGGGTCCTCTGAAGTCTGTGACGAAGAGCTCCATCGGGAGGCATACCAATCCCACTGTCCTTGTCCTCGCCATCCTGCAGACCATCCCCAGTGGTAGCCTGGGTTCCACGCAGTCTGGGCGTAGCTTGCCCATGGATCCTCGGGTTCGTCAGCCCCGTCTGAGGGACGGGTCGAACCACCGGCGGTGTCATTGTCGTCGGGGTTCTGAGAACTTTCCAGCTCAGAGGCAGGCGTCCACTGCCTACCCCATTGGCCTGTCCCATAGTCCAGGCTGGGCCGCCGCGTTGTCCATGGACTGCTCGCTGAGGTAGTCGTCGGGCGAGCTTCGTAGTGGGGCTGCACCTTTCGGAGGGCTTGTCCAGCCCTCATGTAGGCCTCGGTCTTCCTCGTGATGTACTCATTCATACTTTCGCCACTGCGGCGCCGGGTGCCCTTGAAGTACGTAGCCAACAAGTCCGTGACCTCGTTGACGCGGGGTTTTCCCAGGGCCTTCCTCAGGTGGTCCATGAGCTGCACCACGCCGCCCCTGAAGGCCACCCAACCTGCCGGTTGGCCTGCCACGTAGCGCTTTGCTGCGCCTGTCAGCTCCTGGACCAACTTGGGCCCCGCAGTATATCTCTTCTCCCACGTCAAGCTTTGCTCCCACAACAAGGCCGTCTCCTCGTACTGGGTGAAGCTCGCTGCTTCACCGCTCCATGTGGGAACGCCGTCTTTGGTCCTCATCGTGGCTGTCGTACTGCTCTCAGCTACTCCACTCATTGTCATCTCCTGCACGTCCCTGCAGAAGCCAGGTCCCTGGATCGATCACCACGCCTGCCCTTGGCAGGCCTTGAACCTTCCGAAGAAGGCTCCGCTACCGTGAAAGTGGTGGTAGCTGGTAGCTCACAAGGGTCTAGCCGATCGTGTAACCGAAGGAGAGGTTGCAGGGGCAGTAGAATGGCTCGGCACAAATACGGAGCTAACAGAACTGCATGCGGCCTCGGGCGCCTTTTGATCCACAGAATCAGCTTCGGCAGAGGCGCGATGATCCTGAAGGCATCAGAAGGGCCGTAAGTTCTCAGAACTTTCAGGGTTTATAGGGTTCCTTTAAAGGG